TATATATATATATATATATATATATATATATATATATATATATATATATATATATATATATATATATATATATATACACACACACACACTCAATTAGCACCACTATGGATTACACTGGAGAAAAACACTTACAGTACTTCCTCATGTTTGATGCTTAGAAGGCGAGAAAATATCAATCCTCAGATGGACGTCTACATGGCAACTGAAGTCCATGGTGCAACATCCCATTCTCCATGAGACACAATTCTTGATATGCCCCACAACTGCAGTTCCTTGCTGGTTGCCCACTTAGATCGTCTGATATAAATTTTGATAGCTAGGCAAAATAAACAGAAGAGGTGGTGTTAGAAACTCCAATGCTAGACTTATTTAGACAAGGTACAGTTTTACAATGTGTCCAAGCATGGAGTTGTACCATTCAATGAAGAAATAAATTGTTGTTTCAGCTGCATTTTGAGATGAACACTAATATAAGACCAATTTCCACATATGCATGGAAGCTAGCTTGTCGGATCGAGCTCAAGAAGATTCACAATCTAGAAATACACTCATTTCATTCTTTTATAAATGAAGAAGACAAGTTCAGAATCACATTCCAAGACACAGTTTCAGTTCCACACAGTCTGTCACTTCGCATGGAATCATGGCCCATTCTTATAAGCTCTACAACTTTAGGACGATTCTTATAAACCCCTTGAATTTTTCATGATATCATTGATTTCCCAGATGAACAAAAAGATTTTCTTTGATACCAAAAGAAGGACTTTGAATGACAAACTGATGCAACCATTTTAGTGTGACTATTCCATAATCTTAGTTTCATTTTGCCACATATAAAATTTGGACTGACCGGTTACAATTGTGTATCATAAATGGTTTCTCACCTGGATAGCCACCCAGCTGGTTGATGCTTGTTGCATTAAAAAAAAGCACAATCAAAGCACTCTAACACCAAGGTATGCCCTGGCAGCTCAAATCATCAATGCTCTTTGCCTTAACCAACCAATCATCTCGTTGTAAGACTAACCAGAAAAGAAGGCAACAAATTACTCTGTCCTGCATTTGATGCATGTCAACACCTTATTCTGAAATCTACAGCAGCTCCGCTAAATGTCAATCCAACTCAAGCCTGGAAGTTCGTTGAAATTTCTCTCTTATCATTGCTCTAATTCTTGCAATGTTATCATTGTCAGAAGCATACAGTTTCCCTAGTTCTTGGTTCCACCTTCAACAGTTCTCTGCAATCTCAGTATTGGCACAAGTCCTCCAAGCTGCAAGCAATGCCCACTAGCGCTCCTGGATGAGGCCACACTAGAATACTCTGAACCATCTTATGTGCTTCTCTATGCCTCCCAGCACATCCATGCAGAAAAGGAATCACAGAATTCCAACCCTTTGTGTGACAAGCTTTGAATGACTTCAGGCACTCAGCGTGCTGACAAACATGATACAGACTGGCTTGATCACCTCCCAGTGCATTGTGTCAAATATGTGGAGCTCTGAATTATCTTATGTGCTTCCTTAAGCCACCTTGCCCATCCAAGCATGTCCGTGATGCAAGAAATGCGGTCGGCTCTCTGCTCCTTGCCATAGCTGCAAACAATGCTTTCCCAGAACTCCTGACAAATGTGATACAATCTGGCATCATCATCATCTCCCTTCGCAGTATGTCAAAGATGTCGAGCGCCATCATTTTGAGTCCACGGGATGTTATCCCGTCTATGAGCTCGGCGATTGAGTGTGCATCCAGGGAAGGAATCTCTTCGAATGTGCACAAAGCTTTCTGGATGTTGCCTCACTTGGCATCCATGTCCACAAGTGCATCGTGCTCGTTCCTCTCGTTCTTCTTGCTATTGACATACGATCCAACTCAGATCAGCAGCTCCACAATTCGCAGCTGAACCGAGGCGGAGATGATGCAGACCACAGTGGCTGCGTCTGGCTCTATCTTCTGCCATTTCAACTCGCGCAAGCGCCTCTTTAGTCATCCCTCGTTAACTTTAGCGGTCAACAAAACCAGGTTCTTCTCAGGCAGTCTGTCGAACAGTTACCTAGCAGAAACGACGGCACCGGCCTTGCAGTACACGACTACCATATGCGTCTACGAAACGGCATTCTGGTCGACGACGGCCCTGGCGAAGGAAAGGCTACCGGCAGGGCATAGCGTCGAAGAGCTGGTGGGTGACCGCTAGGCGCCGAGGAGAGCATAGAAGAAGACGAGGTCCTTCAAGAGGGTACCAAATGCCAATGAAGTTGGCGCGCGAGAGGGGGAAACTATAGCCCTCGCCGAACACGTCGACGACGGGAAGGACGGCAAGGCGGCCGGAGCGGAGGGCGGGCGCGGGTAAAGCGGGAGAAAGCAAGGGTGGCCAGTGCGTAAGAGGGTGGCCGATGCGTAATTTCCTCGAACCGATAAGAACGAGGTAGGATGTTCCTGCAGCTTATGATAAGAAAAACCAAAGTAAAATCAAATCTGTTAGATAAAACAATTTATGAATCTAGAAACACTAAAGGTCCACCGACAACACGCTGTTAGGGTCGCACTCGAGCTCAATGTACCCTTCACGATAACATGTGGCTTATTCCCCTCTTTATATATGCCTAACGAGGAACCATTCGGTGCTCGAATAGTTCTGCCATCATTCCTTTTCGAGCCGTAGCGGAAGAAAAGGGCGTCACTGCTTTCCTCGTCTCCTCCCTCCTCCCTTCGATTGATCTCGAGCCTTCTCGGTCTTGGTTTATGAGGCAATCTTCTCGATCCTATTTCTTTTACCCTTATGTATTTTTTGCTGCTTAGGGTTTGCTTCTGATTCTCGAGCCTATTTGGGGATTTCTGATGGAAATCCGAATTCTTGATGATGATGTGGTAGATCGCCTGTTTTGGTTCTTGATTCGTTAGATCTGCCATGGTTTGGCCGGAGATCTGACTTTTGGGGCTTGTTCTGTTGGTGAACGATCCGATCTTGATCTTGCAGCCCATATATTGAATCCAAGATGTTTTCTCTTAGAGGTGGCCTTATCGTTTTCTCTCATCTTGGTTGTTTTACAAGCGTCAGATGTAGAACACTTTCCGTTTCTCCTTTTTCATTGTTGTCTTTTGCTAATGCATCTGATCGGATTCTTGCTATTGAATTAGCATTTTTTGTGGGAGATCTATGGTAAAAAAGAGTTATTTTTGTTTTAAACCGAGATCAGTTAATCTTTTGTTCTTGATAACGTTTTATATGCAATGTCTAATTTGTCTCTTTTTGGATTATTACGCAGCTCGAAGGAGAAACCCACTCTAGGGTACGTTGATCTGCTTCCTTTCGTTTGATACATTTTATTTCGTTTTTCTAGGGCATGTTGCATGGATTAATTACACAGAATGGAAGTATGGTTTTATTTTGTTGTATTTCGATTATAAAAAATTTTGATGTCTGAATAATTATGGGTGTGCTGCTCTTGGGAATGATTAGCTGCAGCACTAGGCCCTAAAGGCTTGATCTGGGAAAATTCAGATAGGTAGAAATTGAATATATGTATTTTTTGGAAGGCTTGTTATGAAGGGGGTTAGAAGGTATGTTCTTTGCAAGAAATAAATTGTATCCAAAATTCAATCCAATATTTATAAATTTACTATGATACCCCTAGTTACAGATTGGTAAATTTTCTAATTAAATTTGTGCTATTTGTTACGTGAAAGGTCTTGCTTCTTGTTGTTAACCAATTTGGTCGTTTGTTTGACACTTCGTGCTTATGAAGCTGAGCCGTGACTTGGTGTGATACTCCTGAGTGTTTCTTAACTGTCTTCTAAGTGGCTTCCCTGTCAATATCAAGTTAGGTCAACATAGTTAGATGATAATACAGCAACAGAAATTTGTATGGTCCCATAAGTTGGAGAAAAGTGCTACAGTCCAACGCACATCAAGCTGCTATGCACTTAAAAAAATTCATTGTACTATCTTCATTGACCATTGGTACTTTTAATATATAGGATAAATTGGATTGTTTGCAATTCCTTTTGATGTGTGTGGCTCTGAATTTGAATGGTTATTATTTTACTTCATTCTTATAATGGTTATCAGACATTGTAAAAGTTTTTGTGTCTATGATGATGTTTTTATTGAGGAATGCTGAGGTACATTAATGATAATATTTCCAATGCAGTGGCACGCGGATAAAGACCCGCAAACGGAATATAACTGCTCCTTTGGACCCTGCAGCTTTTGCAGATGCAGTGGTCCAGATATATCTGGAGAATGCTGGTGATTTGGTATGTTTATCATGAAAATTTAGGTGCAGATAGCAAGTTAACTTTTTTTTTTTCAAGTTATACTATGAGAACTTCAAATTGTTCATGGTATGATGACTAAGGGCATGCATGTTAGACAAAGTACTTGATCACATACACAGTGATATTTGTGATCAAAATGAAATCAGTTGCCAGATGACTACTGTGTTGAGACTCTTCTGCCTTTGCCTTTGACTTTGCTTCCCTTCTAATTTTCTTAGGAAAATTCATTTAGTCATAAATGATGGCTTTAGGAAATTCTATATTATAGCAGGTCTAATAGATGTGTTTGTTCCTGCGTTTATTAAACGTTGGTAAAAGGCTAGGTTAAAATCCCTTTAATCTGTTGGCAAATAATTTGATTGCTTTAGGAAATTCTATATTAAGCCATCCTCTAATTAATTAAGAATTTGAATGCTTTAGGAAATTCTATATTATAGCAGGCCTAATAGATGTGTTTGTTCCTGCATTTATTGAACATTGGTAAAAGGTTAGGGAAAATACCTTTAATCTGTTGGCAAAGAATTTGATTGCTTTAGGAAATTCTATATTTAGGAAATCCTCTAATTAACAATTTAGAGGATTAAGTCATAAATGATGGCTTTAGGAAATTCTATATATAGCAGGCCTAATAGATGTGTTTGTTCCTGCATTTATTGAGCCGTTGGTAAAAGATTAGGGAAAATCCCTTTAATCTGTTGGCAAAGAATTTGATTGTTTATAGCTCATGCTCTTAATATTTTTGTTTTGGGTGGATTTTGTGTGTTCGAGTGGTAGATTTTCTTAGCAAGGAACTCCTTTTCGCCAGACCAATACATACCTATCAGCATTGGTCCGGCCATGAATCGGCATGTGTATCTGACCCGAACCCCCATTTTAGGCACTCCGGTTTGTATGA